TCTGAGCAATCCCAAGAAAACCAAGCAGGGAAGAGAGTAATTTACCACCTAAAACATCTTTTTACTAGTTTTAGTGAGTTCTAACCATGAACTGGTCCCTCAACAGTCTCAGAAATTGCGAGCTGAAGCCATAGTTAAACGCTGATAGATAAAGCTAAGATGAACCCAGACCTAAGCTGATTAGGCTACAGCTACAGAAGTTTTACAGACACCACCTCGGCTGCTCAGAGGCAATGGATTTGTTTATTCCAGATTTCAAAGAACACAGACTAGCTTTTTAAAAGCCTGAAAAGCTCTTCCAAACAGCAGAAAATTGTTCCACCTGCTTCTCATGGACTTGAGAGCTGAGCAGGTTAGAGGGCTAAGCAGTATGCTTTACAGCTCCTTCTCCCAAAGGTCCACAGACAAAGCGAGTCTTGGTAGAGGCAGCTCCTTTGCAGTAGCGACTCGCACAAACCAGGGGGCAACACTGTGCAAGAGGGACTCCAACAAAAAACCTCCACGTTTCCTTTAACAAGCATTAAAAGTGCTTCTGCAAGTCAGGAAGTGAAATAAGCAACATCTGACATTAACCTAATAGAACAGACCACATAAAACGTAATACAGAAGTCCAGTCACCTGTCTCAACGAGCACAGCTTTTCAGGTCAAATGTCTTTCTGATGAGACAAGTTTATGTATCTTGCTCGTCTGTTTAAAAGTGGCTTTTCAAAAAGTCAAAACAACCCTTAAATTAATGTCTTCGATTTGAAGGATTATTGGACAAACAGAATCAAACAGTTCATCCTGTCCTGAGCAATTGTTTACAGGTGGAGAAAAACAGCAGCTTTACTGTCATGAACAAATCGGCGTTGCTGAAGTCTCAAGCAGAACAGTTTACTAAATGAGCCACTAAACTAGATTCAGAACTCACTTCTTTTTAAACTTACTCTACTAAAGGAAGGATATTTTCAAAGAGCCCTACACTGAATTCTGCTTGATTGCAGTAAAAAACCCACACCCCGTCACTGATCATTTGCAGATTACTATTGTTTTAACTCAAGGTTTTAAGTAATTCTAAGTTACCACGTTACGCTGCCTCAGTACCAGCAGATTATTTACACTGATTGCTAACATGTACTATTAGACTTTAAAAAACACAGGACTGCACAAAAGCTTTTAGCCCCTTAATCTATTCCCATGCTATCACAATCAGTCATGCTGAACAAGCCTCGAGGTAAAAATACAGCAAATAAATAGGATACAACTCAGTTTGGCCTGAAAAAAACCCCAAAGCCACCAGCTATTCCTCTTTCTTGCCTTAGATACCAGCATTAATACAAAATATATGTAGGCTGGTAGAATATCAGTAAAACCATCAGAACTTCTACCAGATTATTTTACAGTGAGTGTCAAAACCACACAAAGTACTTAACCTCCATACACTAAGAACCATTTCAACAATGGACTTCCACATGGACTATAAGTCAATTCAAGAAGCTCTGCTGGACTGCAAATAGAATTTACAGGAAAACCTACAGCAATATATTTAGAGCAACAGCACCAAAGGAGATTGTTTTTAACTTGTGGCACAAATAGGAAGTAAAAGTGGTTTCAGTTGTCAAGAGAGACATTCGTTTTTCTTCATGTATTTACAGCATATAGTCTCATTGTGATGGATTACTCTCCTACCCTCAGTGGTTCCCGTGCTACCCTACTGCTGGTATCTGGTTGGCTCTGTGGTAAAAGCTTTTCAAATTGCTCAGAAGCATTTGCAACTTCACCACTTTATGTCGGTTACATAGGTTTCCTCAAATGGAAAAAGTCCTTCTGAAAACACACATTAAAAGCTACACGTTTTTTAATGCCTATTTCATCTTTTAATAGAGGAAACACTCACCATCAAGGAAAACAAAGCAGAACCTTGCTTTATATTTCTTGCAGCACATTTGGCTTTATATCAATTTCCCAGTCAAAGCCATATACAAGTCCACAACACATGCAACATGGCCTTACTCAACGCAGTATCTCTTCTGCACGAGGTCCTTCACTTATCTGTTGTAGGCACACAGCTACGGAGACAACTAGAAACAAACTTTCCCGCTCTTTAAGTTTAGCAGATATTAAGGGATTTGCACTAAAACACTGACATTGTTAACAAAGAGATTTTAAAGATCCTCCTCACAAGGAAGTTGAACATTTAAAGACTTGCCAGCCAGACAAAGGCTACTCTTACAAGAGCTATACAGGCCACAACAAAGCCTTCTCAAAATTAATAAGAAAATGACAGGTATGCATTTGCTTCCATTTTGCAAACATGATACTGAAGGTGTTTTCATCTCTTAAAATTAGCACAAAATGCAAAACTTGTTAATCCACAAGCACTGCAACATCAGTGCTGGAACAGGGACTCCAAGCATGTTAATCACTTTGCTTGAAACATGTCCCCATCGTCATTATAGGGGAAAAATTCTAAGTTGCATGGAAAAATTTTTAAATCTTCAAGCATGCAGACAAGTTCAAGCTGCACATGTGAGATAAAGCTATAAAATAAAAAAGAATAATTATCAGATATTCTACACAAAAGCAGGAGATGATTATCAAGATCTTTTCTGAATGACTGATACTCTGGGAAAATAATCCCATACAAGTAAATTAACATAATGAAAAAGAAAAGCTGTTACAAGAAAAACAGGGTGAACACTAAAACGTTACATGCCCTTCACTGTCTGTGCTAATGGACAGCTACAACATCATAACCAAAAGAAATTTACCTGGATAAAATAGGTAGGCATGTCTTATACAACCATTTGGGCTATTCTGCATCACACCATGGTCCAGTTGGCTTAATTTCCATCTTGGTACCAGTCATGCAAGATCCAGACACACTCTGCCCCAAGGGGCACAGTGTTCACATTTCATATTCTCTTTTCAGCAAATTCCCAGAGCTGAGGACCTGAACTGAGACCTGGGTCAGGTCTAGAAATGTAGTGGAGCTCAGTAAGCTCTTAGCTCATGTCTTCCCAGACCAAAGTTAATGCCGGAAACAGTGAAATCAAATTTGTGCAGCACTACCCCTAAGCTAACAAGCACTTCTTGATCCTAAAGGAAAAGCTGAATTAAGGCAAATACTTTACCACAGTTGCAGACAAAGAGCTATTTCCTAGGATTACCTCGCTTCAGACAGCATGGCCACCCTGTTAAACCCTCTGAGAGAGATGGAGGGGATGATGCTGTGGGAAGGGAAGCTGAATCAGGGAAAGGGACAGAGGATCCTTCACTGCTAGGCTAATGAGCTTTTCAATTTTCTGTACAGGGCAAGCTATGCACTCGAATTTAGTGAAAGACATACATTATTTATTCACATCCTATACAATCAGAATAATCCAAAGGATTAACCTAAAAAATACTATTGGACAGTCACAATGTGGTTCAAAACTTGTGTTGGTGCTTTGGTACCTCGAATTGTGACATACTACACACCAGTGGTTCTTTCTGCTGTATACTGAGACATACGCGTTTTCAAATGGTATTTGGGAAGGAGTCTCACACACATTCATGTGTCAGGTACTGCTATTTTACAGAGCCAGGCAACAAAGATCTTGAAATAATTGCTCACAAATAGCTATAACATACGAGTCATCTTGATATAAAAAAGGATTGCATAAAGTCAAACATTGTTTTCATGATGTCATTCCTGACAGATGCATGTTATTGGCTACTATAGGCCTTCAAAACTCTTATCATTAATATAGGTTTGGCATAATGGCAGAGTAACAGAACAAAGTATTTTAATATTCTCTGTGAACTCTGGTTATTAGCAACAGCTACACAATACAACTTCAAAAAGTTATCCTTGATTGCTTATAAAATGCAGGCAAATTAATTGGTATGTGGAGATTAATAAAGCATCAGTAGATATTTGAGTCATAAAAGCTTAATATTTCCTTACTGGCTAGGATGCTACTTCTTTCCATGTTCATTCTTAGACCCAGCTGCATCACCCCACTCAACCCTCTCCTCACACAAGTTTACTTAGCTGAGTCCCTCAAATGGTAGTAGGAAACAGAAGGGTAGGATTTAGGCATTACAGAAGGTATATAGTAAGATGCAATCACAGAGGAAAACAGAATGCATGTTTAGTTTACAACTTTGTGAACGTCTTCCCCCATGCCAAAGACTGCTACTCCATTTAAAACATTAAGTATTTGAGAAGCCAGCAGTAAATCTGGTACCTACTATCAATGTGCACGTGAGTTAGCTATGCTAAGACATATTCAGATATTCTAAATTCTCATGTTTTCTTGTGATTGTCTTGTAACAGTGTAACTGAACATCTTAACTTACGGGCTTGTAAACTGCTACTAAGAGGTCACAGTTCTTCACTGATGACCCTTTTATCATTCTGAACCTGCAGGCAACCTACAGCTGATTTTAAAAGCCTGTGAATTATGATACATCCTTAGTTTTATTATTATTTTCAGTGAAAATTATGCCTCAAACACCCATAGAATAACTAAAAGCACATTAATGGTATCTTCCAAAGCACCTGGATACTTAATTAACACGCTTAGCCATGTTCAACTTCTAAACTAGATTTTGTTAAAGTTTTTTTTTTCCTTTCTCACCAGGCTCTCAAGCATCAGATTTGAAGTTTCAGTGTTCACACTATCACACGCGAAATAGTCTTTATATAGTAAGAGGTACAGACACATCGTATTAGTCTCAGTGGAAAAGGCAAACAGATAACGTTTAACGTCCCACTACAGACAAAAGACTAGTCTTTTCCCTCCTACTGTGAGAGCAGGAATTTAATCACTTTGTATTCCAATTTAAATACCCACATGTTATCCACTGTTACTGAGCCTTTTGTCTGGTAAGCTGCAGTTAATTACAAAAATAAAAATTCTGCATGAACTCCTTCTTGCTTTCAATAGATCAAATCCTTTGTACTCCTTAGCCTAAAATATTACCGAAAATAATAAAACATTCTACAAGCAAAGACATCTAAGGAAGTGTTTACCAGTTGGTAGAATCGTCTTGTAGTCTTAATCGAGAACTCCCTTCCTCAGGTGGCCGATGCAGCAGCTTGTCTTCAGAATCTGAACAAACAGAAGAATCCCATTAAACATAAACACCACACAGTATTTCACTTACATAAGCCAATGCCAGGTGTAAATCAAAGTTAATCCTGCAGTGCCAAGGAACCTACATAATTATTTAGGAATGCAAATTAAAACATGACAATTTCAAAAACACTTGAGATTTTATGGAAGTGGCATTACAAGCAAATGGAGAGGCATCCTTGCAAACTTCTGAGTCAGTAAGGCAATTAGCTATCCATGATGGCAAGCATCAGAAATAGAGCACTGCATCTCAGCATTACTGAGTTAAATTGCACATAGTTACAGCACCAAAAAATAGAGCATTACATCTCTGCATTACCGAGCCAAATTACACACAGTTGCAGAAGAAAAAAGTAGGTCTCGGTTCAAGTTTTATTTACAGTGTCATATATATTGCGCACAAGGAAAAAAAATACTTCATTGCTACAGTTTTCATCAGTTAAAAACAAATTTGGCCAATGGCAGTTTTTACCTTTCTGGACTTACTCTAAGATTACTTAAATTTTCTACTTCAAAACTAAGTTTCTGGATTAGAAAATTAGTATTTGTATGATCAGACAGAACAGCATTTCCCACAGAACTGCAACACTGAGATTTTATGCAAGCATTCGAAGGGTGTTTAAGCTCACTTGTAGTAGGGTTATGCAGCAAACAGTATCTTTTTCAGTACAGTAATAGGATGATAAAGTGGCCACAACCAGCACCCTTCTGTTGTGGTGAAAGGTTCATAAAACCTTTCCATTTGGGGTTTTGCAGGCTGCTTCTTTTTCAGGGATTTCAGCTAATTTAAGTACTTAAGTGTCATCACTTAACCTGTCTCCAGTAAAACCACAGTTGCTTCAGGTATTGTTCCTGGTACCAGAGTCCACCCTGTCAATACTTCACATCTCAAGGTTTCTTCTAAAGAGTGATCTTCCCTTTTTGAACTATAATTCTCTTTCTGCTTCTACAGCAAAGTCAAGCACGTTCTGCAAAGCATCTGTTTTCAGCATAAACTTGTTTTAGAAGTACAAAAGCCTTGTCATGTTAATGACATTTGCAATCCAGCTGAAGAGACATGAAATATTCAATGCTGATTTGTATTTAATCAGCTATCAGCAGCTCCTCTTACCTCACATAATCCAGATTAACAAGCATTTAACAAAAAACACACTGCTTTGCATGAAATTTCTCATCAAAAACGCCATGATATTACTGGTTTGCCCCAGCTTGGGAAAGGTGGAGGGAAGGGGAAGAGCTATGCAGTATCGAGGCTGAGGGAAGATTTTAGTCACAGTGAAAACTACTATCAAAAGATACCAGCCATTCCCCGCACTGACCCCCACAAGAGAACCTTGTGACCAGAACAGCTAGGAGAAGAGCAGAAGGTAAGAACTCTGAGTTACTATGCAAAATTTAATTGACAAATAGAATGTAGAAGATCTCAAGTTGGAAGGGATCCATAAGAATTATCAATAAAATGATAAAATCGATAAAATAAAGTCAAGGGATCCTATTTGCAGCTCCACTGAAGCAAATAGTTGCAACAGTTCAGAAGTAAAACCAAAAAGAGTAATGTTAGTCAATGGTAACTTTTGCCAACTTGCCTCATTGGCAGCATCTAAGACATGGCATATTAATACGGTTTTCCCCTGCAAATGTACGAAGCACTACGTTTCACTCTTGCAGAAAGGGAAAAACTAAGGAACATCTAAGACACCTTGTTCACTTTGTTAAAGCATAGGCTTTGTCTTAACAATTGTTTCACTACTCTATTTCAGTTCCTTTCATTCACGGTCTTCTTGTCAAGCAACTGTACAAAGCTAACAATTCAGTTAAAAACTTCTGAATGGAAGCCATAAGGTCTTATACTCACACGCTGCTTGGTACGTCACCGAACAGAGCAGCACTATCACTGTCTAGAGTCTAGTAACAGGATTTGAAAGTTTGCTGGCTGAGTGACCATTTATGCAGTTGCAACATGTGCAAATTCCCTCACCACACTCAACAAAAATATTTCCTTCGACCCTATTACACTATGGTGTGAAAAGCTTCCTATTCAGTATCAGAGAATGGATTTTTTTCAAGCATGATTGATCATTTCATTAAACCGAAAGCTTCTGTTACACTTCCACTGGACCAACTCACATATCCTGCCGTCAAATTTCAATGTTTAAACTTCCTCATAACTACGTAGAGTAGCAGGCAGGGTTTTGTTGTACTAAAAGCAGTACCTAAGCCTGCTGGAGACACTTCAGTCCCTCCAGTCCCGCACAGCTCTGCGTTGCTCCCTCTCCTCCCACTGATGCGAATGAACAACCCGCTCCTGCAGACTGGCCTTCAAGTGAGAAAAAGGAAGGCAGCGCCAGCAGCTACAGCAGAGTAGCAATTCTGGGAGGGAAAAGTCAATCTGGCAGAACAGCAATAGGTACAGTGGACTGGAGGGATCATGGAAACATCTGCATGCAGAGGAACTATGTAACCTGGCAGTGCTGGGCTAAGAATAAAGGCTGGTGCGACAGGAGGAACCGGAGAGGAGAGAGGCTGCTGCACAGGCGTGCTGGCCAGGAGCAACAGGGCAGCACCGTACATTCGAAGGAGAGGGGTGCCGAAGTGGGGGCACGCACAGAGAGCTGCAGACGTGTGGTCCCTTTGGAAGATCTCCCTAGCTTCCAAGGAAACCATTCCTTATACATGATCCAAACTAATCTGGTTGATAAAACCTGTCAAGAGAGCTTTCTTTTTTTATTTTTATGTAATGGTTGTCTAAACTGTAACCTACAGTATAAATAACACAGTTGAGGGAAACTAAGCTGCCATCTTAGCTTTCAGCCAATATTTCCTCAAAAATTAATTTTCTTTACTTCAATAAACCTTTGTTGAGTAAATTAACACTGTTTCTTTGACAGGCTAAGCTCATTCTCAGTAGATATCCTTGCCTGCCCTCCACACACTGTGTTGGCACAGCTTTCTGAGGATGATGAGTTCAAAAGAAGGAAGCAAACTATAAATCCACTTGTTCCTGGTAAATTAGGGAGACTTCACCTATTCATTTAAGCAACCATCCTTTACTTCATTAGCTTTGTCACTTAAGGGAAAGGTGGAATTAAACTCTGAAGTACAGCACCTGATTAGATCTTGTTCTCCATACAAAATTTATGCTCAAGCAAACTATGAACCATAAAGACGCAAAGAGCCTTCTGTGAATCACATGGTGTTCTGTTTTTCAGGGGCATACGTGTTTCAACAAGCAGAATCTCGGCCCCTGCTTCCCAAGCGTCCAAGTTTTGCACTCATTTGAGCTACAAGGAATAACGCTTTTGAGAAACGCATTGAACGGCTATGTTCTCAGGAGAGAACGGTAAAGCAGTAACACAGGGGTTAACAGGTTTTACTGAGATCAGCATACTCCATGCAAGACAGTTTCCTGAAACACTGTGGTGAAACAGCTATTTATTGCCAAATATAGCAGTTTTTAGGTAGGGGCTTAAAGTGATCCTGAATATTTTTCCAGTTTTTGCCACCATTACAGCAAGACTGGCACTTACAGCCCAGGTAAGCCCTGTGTTGGAGCTGGCTCCAAGCTTTCAAAAGCAGGCAACAGGGATGACTCAGGGCTGAGACGAAGAGGGAAACAGGTCAAACCATTTCCTTAAATTCTGCACAAACCCTCGACTGCCGACACAATAACCCATGCTCCAGCTCCATGCCTTGCTCCAGTCAGACACTCGCCTCCCAAGGACACTACCGAGGTGACCATCTGGGGTGGCCTGAGATGCCATTTCATTTCCTCTGTGATTTGTAACTTACACAGCATCTTCAAAAGCCCAGAGAAACACAGATTTCACAACTTAATATGCAGGTTATTCCAACTCAAAAGGTTTGTCTAAAGTACATTTAGGAATAACTCCAGCTAGAATTAGCCAGTATACCCAACACCGTACAGATACGAACCACATTTAAATTCACGTTACACACACCACCTTTGCCCATGCTTGACTTTGCTTAGCCCAAAACATAGAAAGCACAGAAGAGACAGCAATGGGGATTTAAGGTGATGTCAGATTGCAACAGACTGCTATTGACAACAGCCCATCAAAAGGTTAAGACATGTCTGAAAAACAGAGTATACAAAACAAGTGGGAAGAAAAATCATAAAGATCCATAAAGTGCCAGAAGGCTTATGGTAGCTTATAAAGAATTCTATTGCCAGACATAAGACAGCACGCAAAACGAGCAGTCAAAATAATCCCCGCAGAGCTTCTGACAGACTATTCTTCATAACAGGGCAGCTATGAAAAAAGAAACAGAAAAAAACATATACAGTGTCCTACAAAAATAGGAAAACCTATAAATACTAGAGTTTGCAAAGACAGATCCATGGCAAACAAAACTTGTTTGAGAATTTTATCCCTCACTAAAATGATATGGACTACTTTTTTCCCCCCCTCACCAACATGTATTGCCAAAACTTTAATTTTCAGTTGAAAGAGGACATTTTCCTGTGATTTGAGGAACTGGTGGTCAGAAAACTATTAAAAAATCCCCAGTAGTTTACTTCTACACAGCTGAAAAAAGTAAGTTCTCATGCGTTTATTTTCAGGACAGCAATGAAACAGAGTGTTTAAGATGAAAATAGCAACACTAAAACTCGATAGTTTGAGCTTCCACTATACATCATACAGTTAATAACAATGACGCTGCAACACATCATAAAGTTAAAACTATTTGCTTCCAGAAGATTGCCCAGCTCTGCTTCTGTGTAACACTACAGCACTCAAGAGATACCCGGATCATTTTCAACATCAAATTACTCCTTTATTTCATTCACCAGAACAGCCTCAGGTACAGCACTTTAATATGACCTTCCTTGCAGGTCCAAGCTGGAAAGCATCAAAATGTATTCATGTACTAGAAGTTAATTTTGTGCGTAAATGAAAAGTGTTCAATTAATTAAGAGTTGCAAAGACAGAGAGGGAAAAGACTCACAT